CAGTATGGCCATACTGCTGGGGAATTCTGGGAGGTGCTGACCAACATATAGGAAAAACTGCTGGACTGACTTTTGTATGAACGAATTCAAAGTGCCAAAATATGACTCATGTGTGGATTTAGGACTCATATATGGAGTTAAGCAGAATTAGTGGAGTTTAGCAGGCAGCATGCATCACGTGCTGGCCACACCCATGCCCAGTTTAACGAAGGGGAGTGCGTCATGAGTCATGATGTGACACCACCGTGATGTGTCAACATTGCAAATATCATCCAGAATTAAATCAGAGCCCAAGGCATCGCTTTCATCAAAGTTCCAAGTTAATAAGAGAGACATGTTGGTACAATATGTGGAAAACCCGAATCTGAAAGCTTCCTGGGGTTCCCACCCAATTGAAAGTTCATGATCTTGTCCCCACACCCACAAGTCCATCACATGGTCCAATCTTCCATTGCCATGCTGGCATCTCCACCCATCTAGTTCCGTTCAGGTGCAGAGGTGCGGAGAGAAAGAATGACCTTGGGCTTCTAAAAAGGAATGTTTTATTTTGACAACACATTCTACAATTCTACTCCTTACTATTCCCCTTCCCAATTACCCCACTAACAAAACAGTAAAGTAAAATAATAGAGAGAGTGGCAGGTCAAAGATCCTAAAAGGAATATGACTGTAGGCCTGACAATGAGTTAACTTTTAAGTATGATTTGTTGACTAAGCTATAGTTTGTCAGGTTCACACATGGTACTAATTTATCAACCACTATTTATAAACCAAAATGGCTTGATCCCCATGTTGTGATACGTTAAAAAAAAAAAGCAAAATACACTATGGGGGTGTAATGATTTGTAAATCATGAATGGAGACTAAACAAAATTTGCCAAATTTGTTTAAGAAAATTGTAAAACTCCTTGGCCTAAAGGTGTGGACAGCAATATGGTACAGACTAAGAGCAAAGTAATCATAGAGATTATTGTACTACATGATTAAAAGCTTTCAGGATTTTTGAAATAGCTTCATCCCCCATCCTTTCTAGTAAAGTTGTTAAGAATTCAACTGATCATTATTCTGGTATTCTTGTGGAAGGAAAATTGGTTTAATTCCAAAAAAGGAAAGATTTTCAACTGATTCTACTCACAAAATATAATTGACAAAGTAGCAGACAGACCGATATTATCCTGTACGTTCCAATATTAAAAGACCCTCCAGAAACTATAAATGTTGGGAACATAAAAGACACCAGGATAATGATAGATAGGTAAGTAAGAAGTTTGCAGTTAGACTGATATAAGCCAGTGATTTCTCACAACAGGGCTAACTGTGAATTAGCTACAAAGAAAACTAAAAGGGTTGCTTTCAACTTTAAAGGTCACACTAAATTGCGATGAAGACACCAAACTCAGATTTTTTTTATTTTTAATATTATGCGGCAAATTAAATCAATATAATTATAAAGCACCCGCCAATAAAGATTGCGTTGTCACTTAAAATTCAACTGGTACTGATGAAGTTCTTATAAGTATTTCTTATTAAATGGCAGTTCTGAATGAACAAGTAATTCCATTATTAGAGATATATATGTAGAATAATCAAACTGGATCAAAATGTTAAATAGCTGCATTTGTATAATAGAAGAAATACTTCTATTATAAAGATGGTGGGTTCATTTTAAGGTTATCATCTTTCAAATGTCTTAGGCTATCTGAAATAAGTTACATACTGGTACTCCTTGACTTACAACTATGGTATAATGAAGCCTACCAATCATGGCTGTAAGTTGTGATGATTGTAAAATGGATCTTTTCATGGTTTTGCTGAAAACTGGAATAACTGCTGATAAATGGTAAAATGTGATCATGTAACTACAGGATGTTAAACAGCTATAAATATGGCCAAGATGTTGAGCGCCTGAGGTTTGGTCATGTGACTGGTAGGGGAGGCAACCATCAGACTTACAATCTGGATCACAAGAGCCTCCAGGTAGGCCCATGCAACATTAAGTTGTAGATTACCTGTAATCAGGTACAGATACAAATACAAGTAGTTCTCATTTAATGACCATGATTGGGACCAGCAATTTGTTGTTAAGCAAAGCAGTTGCTGAGTGAAATTGCAACTGTAGTTACAATCTTCCTTCAGCCTTCCTTTGCTTTATAGACCTGCAAAGATTGCAAATGCAATCACTTTTTCATCCGTGTCATAACAGGCTAAATGAGGACTACCTGTGAATCACTGAATGGTGTGAAGTCACACACCATTCCAAATAATTATGAATTTACCCATTCTAGAGAGAGATGGGCAGCTATATAAAATTTTAAAATAAAACAAAATGTTTGATTATCTCTAAAAGATTTTAAGGATTTTTTTTAAAGCAGGGCTGGGCTGCTCTGCCCCCACTCTAATTTGTTGGAGGGCAGGGAACAAGGGAGAAAGGTGGAGAGAGAGAAAAAGTTGGAAGAGTTACAACAGATTGAGCAAGAGAAAGTTCTCTCTAAGTGATCAGTTCAGACTTCTGGCACAGAAGAGTAAAAATGACAGATAGGAGAAAATCCTTTCTACAAATGATAAGTTTAGGCCTTTGGCTGACAGAAGGCAGTGGAAGACTGGACTCAAGCCATAATGCAGTTTATTTGGGTTTGACTCATATCCTTCAGCTGACAGAAAACTTTTTATATACATGAAATCTGCTGTCCCCATTACAGATCTGTTGCCTGTTTCAAGTTAGCACAGTCCTCTGAAACCTCCTCTAGCTAGACAATTTTATAGACCTTGTTGCTACTGTTGGAAGAAGTGGGAAGAGGAGGGAAATAGAGATTTAATCCCAGAATGAGTAATGAGGAAGGCAGTGTTCTGTGGGAATAGGGAAGAAGCATACAGGATATGCTTGCATTATCTTTAGGTGCAAACGGGGAAAATCTTTTGCCCTAATGCACAAATTCTGCTAAATTAAGAGGAAGTAAAGTAGTTCTCCATATTTGGTTTTGCTCTTCTGCTGCTTCCATGTACAGACAGTCCTCGATTTACGACTACGAGCGAAACAACAATTTCTGTTACTAAGCAAGCCAGTTATTAAGTGAATCACATGGTCATTAAGTGAATCCACTTCCCCCTTACTGACTTTGCTTATTGAAATCTAGTTGGAAAGGACACAAATAATAATCATATTGACCTAAGGGGCTCTAACTGTCAAAAATACATACCTGTTGCCAAGTACCTTAATTTTAATCACCATTGTGAGGAGACTGTGATGTTTGTGTAAGGACCAGTCATAAGTCACTTTTTGCAATTTCCGTGTAACTTCAGTCACCAAATGAATGGTTATAAGTTCAGGACTACTTTTACTCCATGGACTTATTCTTGTGTACCCCACCAGAAAGATGGCCCTGAAATAGGGGAAAAACAAATAATCTCTGTTTGAAAAAAAAATTGTCTTTCTTTTCTTTAAAAAAAAATAAAATAACACAGCAGATATAGTTAGAATTCAGCCAGATTTATTTACCAAATACTTGAAAAGTATTTTTTTTTACTCAAAGGACAAGATATATGAGTCACCCGAAGGCAGGTAAAAACTATAAAGATGTTGTTTTTTTAAATGACAACTTTTGAAGATCCTGCCTTCATCAAAGGGGGGGGCGTTTTGATTTCAGTCCTCTAAAATATCCCTCCCCCCCTTCATTTTTCAACTCACCCCCCTTTGCAATCCTCAGGGGAAAAACCTGTGTCTCTTGGGACCACAGCAATGAACTCTCAAGGTCACACACAATGGCAGTGCTTATATTGTGTGTGGAAGCCGATCGCAATACGCAGTTATTTCCTACTCCACAGATAAGATACCCGAGATGCTTTCCTTTGAACCCAACTGGCAAAAGGACAACCCCACACAGACCATGCAAAGTAACGTGCAGTAGCATACAGATGACAGTTGCATTCCCCACCCCACTTTCGGCCGACTGACTCCATAGCCCCCCCTTTTTTTTTGAATGTCATGCCCCGACCTCCCCCACCCTGACTTCCAGCTCGCCTTGTTGATCCTGGGAAAGAGAGGGGGGAGGCGGGAATGTCAAAGGCCGGGGCTCTAAAACCCGGCCTGCAATCCTGCTGAGCCCCTTCCTGCTAATTGGTCCCAGATAGTTGTGCTTTTTTTTCACCAAGCAACAGGAGCTTTGGCCGCCCGGGGTGGGGGAGGGCGAAGTGCGGGCAGGAACCGAGGGGGGGGGGAATGGGGTTGCCGCGGTGAGTTAGCCGCGCCCGGTGGTGGGTGGCGGGTGGGTTTGGCTTAAACTGCGGAGTCTCAGCCCAGCCTTGCCCTGCCGTCCAAACCCGACGGGGTGGAGGAGAAAAAGGGGGAAGACGCGACGCATCCATTTGCAACCTGGAAACTCCTTCCCTTCTTCCCTTCCCCCCAGCAAGAGACTGGCTGCTCAGGGTAAAGGCGGCCTTAGGGAGAACCGCGGAAGGCGGAGACTGGGGCTGCTGGCTTCCAATGAGCTCAGGCGTCTTGCTTTGCCTTGCCTGCCCGGCGCTACTGGAGGAGTCTCGGTCGAGAGACTCTCCGAGAGACCCCCAAGCGTCTTCTTAAGAGGCGCTGGACGGCCAAGCCAAGGCGGTAAGTGCCCGCTCGCACAGCGGCGGCGGCAAGCAGGGAGTTTCCCGAGCCTCCCGCTTTGCACCGCTAAGGCATCCGCCCTGTCTCCCTCCCGCCCCGCCTCGGTGTTTACAGCCTTTCCTATATAAAAACAGAGGTAAACGTGTCTATTGAGTGGGAAAGCAAAGCGGGTCGAAGTTTGTGGCGGGGGCAAAGGTGCGGGACGGGTCCGTCGTCATGCGGGAAAGGTTCGAGGCTCTCCCTGCTTTCCGCGGCGGTGAATTCGGGGGTTGCCGCCTCCGGCTTGCAAAAACGCGGACGGCCACGAGGCGGCAAGGAAGCTTTGGCGATTTTATGCTGCCCCGCTTTGCTCACTTGTACGTGATCCTCGGGATTCATTATTCGCAGCCGGATCGGGTAGCCCTCTGGGAAAGGTGGAAGCTCAGGTGAGGGTGGAGCTGGGGGAGGGGGAAAAAAAGCTTCTCTAAAGCTGCGCGTATCGGATTCCATTGTGGGCACCGGAGGCTGGCATGGACGCCGAGGTTTTCAAGGGCCTAGAGGCGGTGCGGGGCCGGCGAAGCTAGAAGCAAATACAATCTTGATCTTTAACTCTCCGGCGCCGAAGGAAATCGAAATGACCACTACGTGGCGTTCACACTGGACTCCGGAATTTGAGGAAAAAGAGGGCATCTCGCCTAGAGGATGAGCCATATAGACCTGGTAAACTGGGTTTGGTGGAATACGGGCCGCCTGGTCCATAGGGACTAGGTCAGTGGTTAAAAGAAAGAAAAGAATTCCTCTTGGGTGGCATGTGTGCCCAATTGTCAAAGGCATCTCCTGAGTGTCACCTCACAGGTGGCAATTTTTATACATGGCTGGAGGAATGCTACAACTTAGTTTGAGAATGATAGAAGTCAACATGCCTGCGTGGGAAAACAGACCCAGGATTAATTGTGGGAGGTGTGTTGTAGTTGTGGGTGTGATTTTCCTAGGGTGGTTTAGGAGAATCATGAAGCAGCACAGTTCTAAGAGAAGTTGGCAGCAAGGTTTAGCCAGGGTCACTTCAAATTTGTGCATTTCTCATAGAATAAAGTACCTAAGGCCCAGGCAGAGTGTTTTTAATGTCATCCCTGAGTAATCTCCAGTACTGTCATCCTAACCCCCTTGACATTAGAAAGCAAGTGTTTAACATTAGAAAGTTATTTTTCAGGTTAAACATTGATCACAGGAGTATGCTCCATATGTTCTATTTGGAAATAGGATATAGGACAAAGAGGGAGGTAGTTAATATTGTTGTATATTGATCATCTTGGAAAAATAGACTTAAGGAAGATCGAGGCAGCTGGTATGATTTAAAAAAGGGAAGATTAAGCTTATAGTGATGTTTCCAAATGGAAATGTTCCAAATAGGCTTTTGTATGAAAAGGTAAAATAATATTGTTGGCAGAGAAGTAGGCAAGCACATTTTATTTTTTCCTCTCAGAGTCCTTATTGTGTCTCCTACATACACATGATGATGTCAGTGTATGTGAAAATATTCAAGATTAAATGTTGTTTTGCAACATAGACAACTTATTTTGAATTGGCCTTTATCAAGTAAATGTCATCTGTAATTAGAAGTGGAAAGGTACAGAATCAAGTGGCATGTTTCTGCCTTGATTTATTTGTCTTTTGACAGTTAGAAAGATGAATGTAACAGAGTTGCCCAGTGAGGGTAAGGAGAAAGAAGGGATAATCTGGACAAAAGGGAAGGTGTCCAAGATAGTCCTGTGCTCTCAGTAAGACTTGTGGATTTAGTCCAGGTTTAATGTATAACTTCCTTCAACGTAAGTTTTATGTAAAACCTTTCTTTTCTGTGTATTGTTGAACAGCCTATTTGCTCAAACAAGTTGAGTCAAGCATAATTTTAAGGCTGTGTTAACATATTGTGCTAAGACAGAATGTGGTTTGTTTGGTTTTGGCTTACGTTAGTACAGGCATTATCTATTGTAAATCATGTCTTAGGGCATGCTGTTAGAACCTAGCCATTTGTTTCCAATAAACCATGGCTTGTTTAGTGTAATATGTGAATTCCTTTTAATCAATTCTTGTTCCACAAATATCCCTGTATTTGTAGAACTATATCTTTGCAACTATTCTCTTTGGGATGTCATTCCAATGCACTGAACAGAGACCTGCAGTGAAGCAAGCGGAACAGTATTTAATAAACTGGCTTCATTTTTATGTTTTACATTGCCAGATTTTCATTGAATGCTTTCATTATTTGTGTGTTATTAAAGACAAAGATTGCCTTTATTGTGTACTGGGGAGTCTTGTCATTTTACTATTTTTTAAACATACAGTACAAGCTGGTCCTTTCACTCAAAATGCCTAAACCACTTAGCCACAAATCTTTGCATTGCTTGCTGACAGTCCCAGTAAAATCAGAGGTGTCAAACTGGCGGCCTGTAGGCTGGATACGTCATGCGCAGGCCATGCCCACTCTAGCTTCATGAAGAGAAAAAAAAGTGTCGTGATACGTCACGTGATGGCAACATGACGCAAGTTTGACACCCGTGCAGTAGTTGGTTCAAGGGTTGCCATTTTAGGAATATTTCCTCCAGTTGGGAGTCATAACTGATGAGCACTTTAGTTGGAAAAGCTCTGACAAGGCTTTATTCTATCAATACCTCCTTTTCCCCATTGGGCAGTAGGTAGTAAAGATCATGAATATAGTCTGCAATTGGGACTTGGAAGGTATTACCTTGTTACCCTTTTTTGGAATGGAGTATTTTTTGAGCCAGACTTGGACTGTGACCTATAGATGATTGGATTTTCAAGTTTTCATAACATAATCAACTGGGAGAGGATAGTTTGACTCACAATTGCTCTTGGCCCAATCAGTACTTGAACAAGCTATCCACACCTCCCCTCCCCAGTTACTTTAAGTGTTAAGTGAATTAAGTTGCTGTCTTTATATACTAAATTGTGACTTGTTTAATGATAGAAGGATGAACCAGAATTATTTTGCATTCATGCTACTTGCCAAGCCATGATTTACAAACTGCAGTGACTGAGTTAACATAATACGGACAATCACAAACAAGCAGACAATATTATAACTGAATATATTGTGTCACAACAGCCATTGTCTCCTAATGGTTAAATGTTTTATATTTATCCATTTTAGAAATGTTCATTAAGCACATATTTTACATGTAAGTAATGTCAAAATCAATCCTTGTTGTCCTACCATAGGGCAAGAATCATACAAGTGGCAAAAAAATAGGGGCAGTCAGGCATAACACAGGTTATGTAGACAGTAAACACAG